CCGATCGAGTAATCGTGAAAAGTAGAACAGAAATCGATTGAATAATTTACTAAGCGAGTCTGGACCCAGATCCGAGCGAAATGTCTCACGATTGGCACTGTTCCGCTCAATTGGAAGATTTATTTAAAGCACCGGGTCATCTCCAATTACTTTCTAATCGGTTAAACATTAAATTATAATTTGACTACGGATTTGTATGCAACTTAAGAACCGATTGCCTAAATTGCAAGAATACAGGGGCCGGATAAAAATCTCTTTCTTGCTTCAAGAATTTCAAAAAGTTGAACATAATGCATAAACAATCTAATATTTCTTAAACTAGCTTTGCGAATCATTCGTTGAACTGTGTTCGGACACGGAATTATTTCAATTAAAATATCATTTACGTACTTTGTTAATCTTCACTGTACACCTTGCTTCAAATAAAAACGGCCGTCACGGTTAAATTACTTACTATTTCGGGTCCGAAAAATTAGTAAATATTCTTCAGACGTTCTAAAGTAAAGGTGAACAGCGTTTTTCTTAAAAATATCACTGTTACGTAGTAAAAAAGAATCCGGAAAGTTCTCGCTTCGTGATTTGTTCAATACTTCGAACGCGGCTCGAGTCCGTCCCGACCATCTGTCGAAGCCTCGTGCTGCGGGCTCTCGAACTTCGCGCCGTCACCTCTCATTGGTCAGTGTTTCCCGTTAATAACTCGTAAACAAAGCCGCAGATCGCATTTTCGCAAAGGAAAAAGTTACTTCACATGACCTCAGCTACCCCTCATTTTCGGCTGTTAAAATAATTGTGGAACACCCTGTATATATACTATATAATTACTTCTACTACTATACTATATAGTAGTAGTATATACTATAGTATATATATTATACTATAATATTATTATATAATATTATACTATAATATTATTATATAATATTATACTATAATATTATTATATAATATTATACTATAATATTATTATATAATATTATACTATAATATTATCATATAATATTATATTATTAATTAATAATTATTTATTAAATTTTATTAAATTAATTATATATAATAATATTATATAGTATAATATAATATAAAATAGAAATAATCGTATCTCTCTTCTTCCGAAATTGTCCATTTTCATTTCCAAGCTGAAAGAAAATTAGAGAGAATTTGCCGTACTCGTTTTCGCAACGAATGCACGAAATCCGCAGTCGCAGTAACGAATATGACTTACTATCGATTCGAGGAACACTATAGATTCTGTAGGACTACTCGGCAGATTTATGCGAGCATACTAATTATAAGTCTGATAACCGAGACAGTTTTTTGTCGCGACGCGACGCTACACGAAATTGCGTTCAGTTTTAAAGCAGCGTCGCCGAAACTCGCTTGACCGCATCGCGTGACATGCGGGACCGGTTGCGAATGTATGCACCGTGAAATATTAAGAGCAGTTAGGCGATTCCGAGCACGACACAGCGAAGTGGCCGCCGCGTCGTTTTTGCCGTTCATTATTAATTTTCTCGCCCGGCGAGTGCTCAACCCCTCGACACGCCGAACGAGTAATAATATCCGTGACTCGTTTGACGATTCCTCAACGCCGGTCTCTGTTCAATAATTCTTCGTGTTTCTGTCCGCGAAACTTTCGCGTTATAGGTCACTGGGACTACTCTATCCGAATCTCCTTTACATAGCGGAGCAGCATCCACTTTGAGACTGTATTCGCCGGCAGCAACTCGGAATTAACACTTTTCTCGATGCAACTCTATAAATATACTATACTATTTAACGACTGCATAGAGTCGGCCATGTGCACTGTCCATGCGCAGTTGCTGAATTTTGCAAAACGAACGAGAACTCTGCGCAATTTGCGGAGACCAAAAATTACGGTTCTGACAATAATTTGTTGGGAAAAAATAATCGATAGAAAGTTGATCTTTGTTCGCCTAAAGGATAGTCGTCGTTTTTAAAGAAAATTAAAAAAGAATGCAGTGATTAGAAAAATGAACTTTCACGTGTTGTGGTTACTAATTAGTGGTTATAAATGGCTGAAGTTCTTTTTGTTACCAATAACCATTAAATAAATGGCGGAAATAGTTTTTGATTATAAATAACCATTATAGACGAAGAAAATTGTTTTATGTTTAAAATAACAATTATCGATGAGGAGAATTCGTTATAGATAACTATTATAATTGGCGGAAACAGTTTTCGGTTATGAATTATATTATATGAATTATTATATTATATTATATTATTAATTATATATGAATTATATTCGCGGTTATTAACTATGGATAACCGTAATTATAAAAAATTGTCGTCATCTAAAACGGCTATTTGCAACCGTCATTTATAATGGTCATTAATAACCAACAAATTTCTAGTTATTCATAATCATTAATTAGTGACCAAAATCATTTCAAGCAAAAAAACGGTTATACTTTATTTTTTTCCTCATTTTGTAAATAACAGTTTACGATCTCTGACAATTTGTAGATTGACTGTTTAAAATTATTTAACTACATTTATTTATCCGAAAGAGAGGATTTGTTCGTATTTTCGGAAAACTTCATTTCAATTTGCGTACCTATGCTTCAATTTACACTGTTCTAATATTATCATCAATGTTCAATATCGGTGTAGCAGCTAATTTACGACCCCGAAATGTGAAATAGAATCATACTCTGAAGAGAGATTTTCATATTCGAACGAAATGCAATGTATGTGAAACATATTTGACACGCGTGCGTTTAATTAACCGCTGTTCCTATAAACATACGAAACCCAACTGATACGTAGATTTGCGAGCGTCCTCTAAGTTTCCGCGTACGGCTGTTTGATGAGTTCCGGATGAATGCGTAAACGGCTTCCAGTTAAATGTTTAAATAACTCTGGATGGTTTGATGTTTGTGGATAGATGCGATATTAACTGAAACTTCTCCGCAACACACCGTTGAATCGCATTTCTCTTTAGTTCGGGAACAACAATCGCTCAATTTAACTTATTAATAGCGGTGCAACCATCGAAGCGGTGTTGCGAACCGGAATATTATAATTTTAACATATTTAAGTCGCCCTCTATCGAACAGTTGAAATTCGATTCATTCAGATGAAACGTTTACGTAAATGTAGAAATTAAGCCCTTGCCGTGCTTTAACGAATCCAACTCGTATTGGAGATCTCTGGTAGGAACCTGTTAAGTATGAATGTTATTCCGTTCTTTTAAGTTGAAATAAAATTCTATTCTTTTCTCCACAATATTTAAGAGTTCAAATAAATGTGGGCATACAAATAAATACCAATTTTCTTCTTCTTCTAAGAAATTATTATAATCGAAAAAAATCTAGTCATCATAACTGGCAAGAAAATGGTACGGTAAGAGGTTAATTGATCATTTGTTCCTTTTCTTTTAGTTTCTCTCTTATTATACTATGCGAAATATTGCAAGGAAATAAACGATACGTAATAAAAGTAGATGCATCGAACTTTAAAATGAATCAGTATTATTGTCTTACGTCTTATTCTAACAAAATTACAATAAATACAGATTTTCTCCTTCTTCTAAGAAATTATTATAATCGAAAAAAATCTAGTCATCATACCTGAGAAGAAAATGGTATGGTAAGAGGTTAATTGATCTTTTGTTCCTTCTTTTCCAGTTTCTCTCTTATTATACTATGCGAAATATCGCAAGGAAATAAACGATATGTAATAAAAGTAGATGCATCGAACTTTAAAATGAATCCAGTATTATTATCTTACGACTCATTCTAACAAAATTATTGTAAGAAGACTTCCTTGAGCCATTCTACAATTTTTCCATAAGTTAGCATTCTGAAAGCAATATAGTAATTTCACTCAGAAATGTTCGGAGTTCGGAATTCAGACCGACAGATCTGAGAATACTAAGTTGTGATTCGACGAGCCTCACGGCTCGTTTTTATAGAAACTCGGGGTAGTCGAAAAAATGCTAGAATCAATACGTTGATTTAACTATTTTATTACTGATTATATTTCTAACTTTTTGCAACGATTCGAAGGTGATTTGAAAGCCACATGCCAAGATTCGAAGGCAATTTGGAGACCACGTGACACGATTCGAAGGCAATTCGGAGGCCACGTGCCACGATCCGACAGTATCTACCACGTACTTTAATTTCTCTCTAATTTTGCTTCAGCTTGTAAACAAAAATAGGAGGAGAGGAAATGCGATTATTCGAGCTTTCCACCTCGTTTTTATAATTATTGGCAATCGACAAGTATAAAAATGAACAGCAACGCTCGAATAATCGTATCTCCTCTTCCCAAATTGTCCATTTTTGTTTACAAGCTGAAAGAAAATTAGGGAGAATTTACTGTATCTTGTAGCTCCGCGATTTTTCTTACCAGACTCAATAAATTACATAGGAGTAGGATCACTACAGGAAAATTCACAGCAACCCGAAATTCGGCATTTCCGGGAGTAATTACTGTACACAGTTCCACAAGCTTCGGCACGGAAAGGATTAATCATTTATACTGCGATACCGCTAAAAATATTCCACACAATATTTATCTCCAACTAATTGCAATGTCTGAAAACAATTCGTTAGCCGCTGTCTACTAAGGCAAACCCTCTGACCTCTCGGAAAGAATCCAAGTAACTTGATCCAATTTGAAAAAGGTTATTTCACGTTAAGAGTCAGACGAACTTTCTGCATCGCGTGATTTAAATAGCTTCTGGTGCCAAAGGGTTAATAAGTGATTTCACGAGCCGAGAGATTTTCCTGCGGATCGAGTGCCGCGCAAGATCGTTGGAAGGACGTCGGCGTAGAGAAAGGCAAGCCGGTTGACGAAACAATACGGGCCAGCTCGGCGAAACAATACTGTCAACGCGGTGATTCTTTCTTTCGGCCCCTTTTGTCCCGGCGAGCAAAGAACAACGCGAACTCGCCCGGGGAACCGAGTTTGTTTTAAAACGGAGAAGCATTATCCCGGAAGTTGTCACGCGAAAGTTCGCCGTGTTTCAGGTGGTGTCGTCAGTTACACCATACCGGAGTCCCCGACGGCGGAGCTCAGCGACGTCTCCTACGACGGCAAAAGGCAGGACAACTTGTTGACCGATGGCCTGGGCCAGCTAATCGATGGCGAGGTCGGCGCGGATAATTACAGGCTGGACATGGGAGATGGAAGAGGTAATCGGTGGGTGGATACGCGGTAGGGTGTTAAGTGCCGAAAATGGAAGGTATCTTGAAAGATCTTCGTCCTAGATATATCGCTTCCGGCTAAGTCCGTCGGGTGTCATTCGTGGGACACGGGGATTCTCCGCTTGGGATCGTTCGTTTCCTTTTTTTTCTTTGGAAGCCGATCCTATGCGTTAGCCATTGCGAAAGCGACTTACGAAGGATAGAGACTTTTACGTTAATTGAAACTTTGCAAGAATGGCTGAAAATCGGGGCATTTCTTTTTTCGTTGGTTTCTTGAACTGAACGGTACAGCTTTTAAAATGCAATAACTCTTAGAAAACTGAACTAAACGACCTGAATTTTTTTTATATGGTGGATGAACTAGTCTACTAGGCGATGGATAAAAGGTTTCTTTTTTCTCTTATTTTGCTATTACTTGGAATGAAAAGGAACAGTTAAAAACCCTCGTTTTTTAGGTTTTTCATCTGAGACTACAACGAAAATTTAAAGAATGCCTCTTGTAGATTTTGGTCATTTATATGCGTGCTGTGAAAATTTGATCGAAATCGGTTAACTCAGAGTCGAGCTACAGGCGTTGAAGGTTTTCAAAAACTACAGATTTCTTATAGTTTTTGGTTCTCAATTTCTTGTAACTCGTAACAACGTGAACCGATTTCGATAAAATTTTCAACACGCGTATAAGTTACCAAGAACTACGAAAGATACTTCTTAAATTTTCGTTATAGACTCGGATAAAAAAAAATTGAAAGACCAGAGTTTCTTATTGTTTCGTCATTCCAAGTAATAGTGAAATTTAAAACAAAGCATTTCAGTCATCGTCTCGTAGACTCGTTCCTCTGTCATGTAAAAAAGAATTCAAGTCATTTAGTTCAGTTTATAAATAGTTTTAGAAGGTATACGAACATTTTTCTGAGCCACTGTAGATATTTATACTAGCTTCTAAACATCTCATTACTTTTCTATGGCTCCAAAATGTAAAATTGAAGTCGGAAATATGTTAAATTGTTATGTTCGTTTCCAAGCGTTAAAATCATTTTTCAAGCGGATCTCGCCTCTCATTGATCACCGTTTTGCGTCGATAACTCGTAAACGAAGTCGCGAATTATATTTTTGCCAAGGAAAAAGTTACTTCAAATGACCTCAAGAATCCCTCATTTGTACAATAATTTTGGGACACTCTGTCTTACAAAATATGATTATATACAAATTTATGTATTATATTTTTATATTATATACTTTATTAAATTTATATATTATATTATATATTATATATATTATGTAAATAATATATATAATAATATAATAATAATAATTATTATTATATATATATAATAATTAATAATTATATATATAATAATATAATAATATATAATATAATATAAATATTATATATATTATATAACCAGTGCGGCAACGACTGCGCGTTAAATTGATAGGCCAGGTATCGGAGCCATTGGCCAGAAGAACGAACGACAGAACGCTACTTAGCATTCGACAGGCGGGGCTTCTTATCGGCACTTAGCACCCGCGAACATTCGAGTCGATTATACCCCGGTCGCTTTACAAAACACGGACCCGAGCGGGATCGTACGCAGGAAGAAAAGGTAGCCGCGAATCTATCCTGGAAGTTGCCCCGAATGGAATCAATTCAATTAACGGGGCGAAACAATAGATCAGTCGTGGCTCAAGCTTTAAACTTCGATCCACTTTAACGAACTTGTCTGCCCGCAGCGAGGAGGGGACGGAATGGATTCGCGGTAAATCAATTCTGTGAGGCGAAATAGATACAGGTTTTTGTCCGCAGGTACAGGCTGGGTCGGCTGGATGCGCGACATCTTCGAGGACGGCTACATCGAGCTGGTGTTCGAGTTCGAGGTAACCTGGATCTTCGAGGAGGTGCACATTTACACCAATAACTACTTCTCCCGCGATGTCCAGGTAATCTTTTTATACATTCCCCCCTCTAAGTCCCGGCCGAACTCATAAACCTTTTCGATCAGATCGACCGGCGAGATAAAACTTTTAACGACCCGCTCCCAGTCGCGGGCTGTGCCGATATTTTCCCGACCGCGATTAAGCTAACTCGCGATTTAAAATATCCTGGGAACTTTTTAATCGGCGAAAAAATTGAAAAGTCGCAAGAAAAACGCTTAGAAATGCTGCGATCGGTTTCACCGTTTGCGTACCACGAGCCACGTTTGCGCTCTTCAGATTTTGCGTCGAGAAAAGCCAGGCCATTTGGCCGAAACAGACGACTTACGGCCCACCCGAAATTTGTCGAAACGTGCTCGGTCTTTCGGACGCGTGTATACGTCGCGCGTCGCATCGCTGTCAGTAATCCAATTTGCATTTTGTTGTTACCTGTTCTAAATTAATAGTATATATATTTTCATTCGTAACGTTTTATTTTAGGTTTTACGACTCTTTTCGACGCATAATCGAAGGAGCGCTATTGCGCTCTTCGGCGCTTTTCGATCCTGTTTTTTTTCAGAACCATCTGGTACGCAAACGGTTAAAAACGTCTATTTTCGGACGACATTAACTGGAAATCTTGCTAAGATCGGTCGAAATTGAATGAATATCCGAGACGAACACCTTCAGTCGCCAGAAAAATTTGGAAAACCATAAAATCTGCATTTTTAAGTCGATGCTAAATGCATTTTTTCGCTTGCATTAATCTAGATGAACTCGACTATGCGTGCTAAAATGGTAAAATCATCATGATCGCTCGAAACATTGAAAATGGTGTAAAACGGTGAAAAATCGCAAAAAGAGGAGAAAATAAAAGAGCTTTAGGTAATTGGGTCGCGGTGGCATTCTACTCCCAAGTGTCATTAGCAAACTAAGAATCTTTAGGTGAATTCAATTTTGCACTGCTAGTTTATGGAAATTGACTATTTCTTAGAATAAAAATCAAAGGAGTGTGATTTTCATTCCCACGTTTCTTGTACTTCATAATCATTTCTATAAATACATACATAAAAATTCGCAGACCAATCACGATGATAGATGCACAAAATGAAACGTGTTCTACAATCAGCTCTTAAGTATCAAAGAATTTCATTCATTAATCATTCCAATAAATTCAGAATCACAGTCTCAAATCTTCTTATACCGTCATCGTATCAAATTTCAGCTTCTAAATTTAGCCATAAATAGATGAAACTCTATAGCCAAATTAGGAATCTTCGTATGCGAAAATATTAGGTCTCCCGGAAAGTTCTGTCCGTTTTTGAATTGAAATATAACACAAAATTTTCATACATTTAATAATATTTATTGTAGAATATACTTTCCATCGTTGCTTATGACTTCTTGCCAGCGTGATGGCAACTTGTAAATGCCATTTTTAAAAAATGATTTATTTTTAGAGGCGAAGAACTCGACTAGTGTTTGCTTGACATCAGCTTCGGTTTTGAATTTTTTTCCTGTAAAAAGTTTTGCAAAGAGAGAAACAAGTGATAATCGGAGAGTGCTAGGTCTGGGGAGTATGGTGGATGCGACAGAATTTCCCAGTCTAGCTCTGCGATTTTCTGACGAGTCGCCAAAGCAGCATGTGGTCTGGCATTATCATCGGT